TCAAAATGATATGGCAGACTTTGAAGATCCCCCATGGAAGGCCTCATCCTCTCTAGGGAGCAGAAAGGAGATGGAATAGGGAGTCGGTGGGAGGCAGGGGAGGAGGAGAGGGAGAGGGAACTGGGATTGACATGCAAAACGAGATCGTTTCTAATTTAAATTAAAAACATATAGAAGGAAAAAAAGATTTTAATTTTTCTCTGCTTGGTGACTAATGCAAGATAGAGTAGTCAGTTTTCACTTTGGAGGCTCTTATCTGTTCTCCCAATACATGATGTCATTTCTCATGGGATCTACAAGATTATTTTGAATAATGCAGTAGCTATAACAAGCTGTGTTTCTATGGCACTATAGACATAGAAAACAGGTAGGAAACTTAATTTATTATGTGCTTTATTGGAGAAATTATTTTGCTTGGTTGGGTGTAGCATATCAAATAAAATGTGAAGATTCTGGGTATTTTGTTAGTGGCCAGCTTCCTCCATGTAACACACTCTGAAACATCTTACATGACCTAAAGGGGAATAAAAGGAATCAAGATTAATTTTTATACAGACTAAGTATTTAATGTTAGTGCCCTTCCCAGGGCTGTACTTTTCTTTCATATTTGTCTTTATGCTTCCCCTATAGCATAGCAAGGAAGCAAGGATTTGACATGCAACTGTCTCATTTTCTATCTTTGTACTTTTGAAAAAAGACTTGTATTGACCAGAAGTCTTCACTATACTGTAGACAGAGTACTCATGAGCTATCTTAAGTTATCCCAATCCAACAACAACAACAACAAAAAAACCCATCCTTCCTAGTCCCTTATAGGCCTACTTTGAAAGGCTCCGTGGCTGGACAGGTGGTTTAGGTGTATAATCACAGCTACTTAGGCAGCTAAGGCAAGAGGATTACAACATCCTGACTTGCTTAGGACTTTAGAATGAGTTCAAATCCAGCTTTGGGAAATTTAATGAGACCTTGCCTCAAAAGAGTAAAATGAGAGGTGGAAACAAAATCTCAGTGGTAGAGCATTTTCATAGCATGTGTTAATCTTGGGGTTTAACTGTAGACCATAGAGGGTTGGAATGAACTCTGTTAACATTATTTAAATCAAGGAGAATAAGGTGAAGACTTTGCAGAGCCATCCCAGGCTCTCATTTGTAAAAAGGGAAACTGAAGTACAGAGCGCATAAGAGTTTGCCAAGTCATGTCATGACAGGAACAGGACTGGTCACTCCTATGGCTCGTTCGTTTGCCTCCAGAATAAGTATGGGGTGAACCTTTACAACTGTGAAAGCTTCTCCATGCATATAAACATTTGAAAATTAAAAACATGGCTTCAAGTGGCAGCACAGCATAGACCACTGACATTCATGAACTTCAGAGTGAAAAATGGGACAGGCTTCTTTTTGTCAGTAGATGCTATGAGGTTTAGATATTCTGTCTATTTTGTGCTGTTATAGAAATGTTGCAGCACTAGGGTACTTACATGTGACTCTTCAGTGGGCATTTTGTTTTAATGTAGACTATTCCCTAAACCACCAATTTTTTTTTCTACTAAATAAAACTCATACTGTCTGTCCTGGGGAGAGGCAGGAGGCTAAAGGTTTTTAGGCAACCTTTCTCTTGGAAATCAACAAATAGGCATCCCATTTCTTCCATGTGGGTGAGAGACATGTGAGGTCAAGGTAGCTAACCCTTCTGCCACCTCAGCAGTCTCATCAGTGACGTTAGTCCCTCGTGTGGGAAGACGGGATCAGTCACATGGGCAAAGCCTGCTAAGGTGCTCAGAGAGTGAATGCTTAGCCAGCAGTTTTCCTTTGCTGTATCCCATGTGTCTTGTTTTGCTTGCCCATTCTGACCAAGTTGCTGATGAAGGTCTCTGGTGAATAGGGTGGAATTCTCTTAAAGGAAGGCCACTATGTGGTGGGAGGAATAAGGGACTCTGTTTCTAGTTTACTGAGATTGAGCCATTTGTGTTGATAGGCGTGCAAAGAAAAATAAATAACTAAATAGACAAATAAATAAATAAATAAAACGAAATCTATAGATTGCTTGTGGGTCTGCATGAGAATTAGGCCATTAAAGCTCCATGGGCTGCTGAAGACTGACCCACAGAAACATCATCCCAGGGCCCAGCAGAGGGGAAAAGCTATGGAGCCCTTGGAGAGGCCAGAGAATAGGGATGAAAAGTAGGGGACCCAGCAGTGCAATGGAAGAGAACCATTGGAAGGAGCAGGAGGTGCCACCTGTGTCAGATAAAGTAGGCAGAACTAGGTTCAGTGGAACAAGAAGAAACTACCCAGGGCATGTCTGGGGACATGGTCCTACTGCAGCCTGGGGCCATGTTGATGTCTGTGGGTTTGTGTTACCACTGAAGGCCATATGAATGTCAGTGTCTGTGCTGTGCTGCCACTTGAAGCCATGTTGATATCCATGGGCTATGCTGTGGCTGGGGGCCATGGTGATGTGGGTGGCTTGTATTGCCACCTGAGGACGTGTTGATGTCCATGAACCTTTCTGTCCCGGGGGCCATATTGCTGTCCTTGGTCCATGCTGCCCTGAAGCCATTTTGATGTCCTTGGCCTATGCTGGTGCTGACAACTATGATGGTGTCCATGGCCCATGCTGCAGCAGAGGGCCATATTGACGCTCAATGTCTGTACTATCACCAGAGACCCTGTTGAGGTCTATGGCACATGCTGATGCTAGAGATCATGCAGATATCCTTGGTCCCACTGACTGTAAAGGACAAAGAAGCTTCTTTTGAAGTAGCATCAATGACTCCCAGTTGAAATGAGAGACATAGAAGGCCTTGTTGACAACCCCCACCACCACCCCTACCCCCACACTTGACAGCATGGACAGGAAACTGTTCAAGATAACTCTTAAAAATTGTGATAAGGATGCTGAAGTGTAACTCTCCAAAATTAAGGGCTTCTGGCAGGGTTGTGGGTGGGGAAGGATTCAGTTTTCTTTAAGGGGGTGTCAACTGGGACTTTGCCCGTGCTCCAGTGTATATATAGCCCATATATAGCCAATACAAATTGAACTTGTGGTTTCTCCCTCTCCCTCTCCTTCTTTCTTCCTTCTTCCTTCTTTTTCAATTTTGTTTGGAGGAAGGTCACAAGGGTGGTGGAACAGACCTGGAGGACTGGGGGGTGAGTGAGATTGGGCTGCATGTTGTGAAATCCCCAAATAATCAATAAAAATTATGTGGGGGAGAAAAGCAAGAAGGAGAAGAGCAGATGGGCTATGGGAACAGGCATGAACAGCCACAGGCTAAGCACAGGCTGCTTGGTGGGGTGTGCTAAGTTCTTCATGCACAGCATTGATTTAATTCTTCCTCCAACCCCGATTTTAAAGAAGGAAAGTGAGATTCAACTTTAGACCCCTCTATGGCTTATGTATCTTTTGTATGTTGTTAGCTGTGATGAAGTTGAGCCTCAGACTTTTGCCACCACACTTCATCCGCTCAACTCTCCCCTCTGGAAGGCCTGTGTTTACCCATGTGCTATGTGAGAGTGCTCAGAGGGTAGGTCGTGAAATGCCACCATGAGGGGAATGGAGAGAGGAGCGTGAGCAGAAGTGGGCGGGCTGGGACTTGGATGGGTTGGTTGGTCTACTGTAAAATGACAGAGACTTCAGGATTGTTAAATGCTGATGCAGTCCAGGAACAGCTAGCGAGTGATTCAGTTTTCAGGCAGAGCATGAGGCTCTGTGTGTGGTTGCATACATGGACCCTTGGGAAGCAGAGTCTTGCTTTGTCTCAGAACAAGGTAAATGTTAATAAGTTTGTAAGTTTAGTGTAAAAAAATGAATTCATCTTTGGATTGTTCTCACTTATCCTATTGTATCCCATTTTTGGGAATGAGTCCTCTTCTGCTTTGCTCTTCAAACATCTGCCTTTGACAAACTGGGTTCCCAGGGAATTGGGTACACCTGAGTATTTCAGGGGTGCTACCCAAATGTGCACCAGCAGGCCCTGCCCTTATACCTGCAGAGTGTGACATCCTTTTAGGAGAAGGCCTTTGGTTTGCCTTGCGTCCCAAACCACTTGCTAAGTAAATGATAAGACTCAGCTTTGGTTTAAGACATGGTGCCACCCTGCAGGAGTCTATAGTTTGGCTTAAGTAACTGCAGGGATGAATTTGATAATGGGGGAAGAACCATCAAAGATGTGTGTTCATGATGGAAGAGAGAAGAGTCTGGGAAGAAGATGAAAGCCTCAGCAAGAAGGAATAGGTGGGGAGAGAGCAAGTAAATTGAGCAGCATCAGGAGGCTTTATCAGCCACATGACTTGGAATAAAAGCACAGGAGTGTTTTCAAGCAAGAAACACAAAAAGTCAGCTTATGGAGAAATTGGCATAAGAAATAGTACAAAGAATAAAAGGTAAACGAATATGCAATATTTGCATTCGGCAGAAGCATAGGCTGTACGGGGTAGTTGTGACTTCCTGTCATGGGATTTTCTGTCAAGTATGAGTATGGATCATGACATTCCACAACAATGACAACAGTAAGGAAAAGCTTGCTGGCTACAGAATGAGTCTAGTAATATCAAGGGCATTTTAAGTAACTAGGTTTAGGGGAGTGAATGCACAGTGTTAGAAAAGTTCACCCAATGAAATTTTCAAAATGGTGTTTGTATTCAGTTTGCACAAAGAGAGTTATCTATGCCAGGCAGTATAGAGTAGCCCGCAGGATGGCAGTGTTCAGTTTGTACAAAGGGAATTACCTATCTGTGCCAGGCAGTGCAGGATAGCCCGCAGTGTGGCAGTGTTTCCTTTGTACAAAGGGAATTACCTATCTGTGCCAGGCAGTGCAGGATAGACCACAGGATGGCAGTGTTTTCCTAGGTGTTACCTGCTCTGTGTTCACTGGTTGAAAGTAAACTAGAATATTCTTGTTCCTTCAGTTACATGGACAGCAAAACTTGGCTCTCACAACTGCCCTGACAAAACAAATTAAATGGAAAGCCTCTGGTGTTTTTCCTGTCTCTCTCTTTCAGTTAAGAAAAAGAAGCCTAAACTCCTGAACAAATTCGATAAAACCATTAAGGCTGAACTGGATGCTGCAGAAAAGCTGCGGAAAAGGGTAAGTTGCTGTTTTTGTTCTGCACAAAAATGTGCAGCGGTTTCATTGTTAAAAACCTGGGGACCGCAGGTTTTGAAAAGTGCAATAGCAATGCGGACAACAACAATGGTAAATGTAAAAGACAGCGCAGCACATTTCTGTGTGAGCCAGATCATGTGGGGCAGAACTGCACCCAAGGCCACAGGTGAAAGAGAGGGACCAAGAGGACCCCTGGCCTAGTGTCAGCCCATCTCCATCCAGTTCTGATTGCATGGATTCTGCAGCTACTCAGTCATTGTAGGCTTCAGTTTTCCCATTTATAAAATAAAAAATTATATGTATTACTCCTAAATCTCTCTTGCTTTTTGTAAAACTCAAGAGAAAAAAAAATATTACCACTGCCAGGTGCCATATTGCTACCACTAGTCAACTCTGTAGGCCTCAGTGCAGACATAAAAAGTCTTGAGTCCAACACCTGTGGCCATCAAATGACACAGGCTTATGTTCTCCTCTGTTAGGTAAAGCTCGTGACAACTTTGGAATGTTCTCCTTTATCACTGGATGAGTAAGCTTTTGAAAACAATGAGTTGTAGCGTGGTCAGAGTCATGTAATACATAATAATAATAATAATAATAATATAATAATGATAATGATAATAATGATATAGTCTATAGTATATTCCTTATATTCTAGTCAGGGTGTTTAGTTAATTATCTGTTTCCTTTTCTTAGAAATTTCTTTTTTTACTGTATTTAAATTTAGAGTCTGTAGTGGTCATTAGCTTTTCTAACCTGTACATTTCTATCTAGCAGCCATGAGCTGCACAACAGTGGACAAAAAAGGCTTGTAAGCAAGGAACCCCTAAGAACAAATGTGCCACTTAGGAATAGAAGTGGACTAAATTTGCACTTCTCACCAGTTTATTGGAAGCAGAGAAAGAAAGAGACCTCTGGATCAGCATTCGACGAGACTCCACAGGGGTCAGCCCTGGCCACCAGTAGATAAAACAGTGTCTGTAGAGGATGCCGGAGACAGACAGCAAATATTCACTGCACCTAGATTTTTGTCAGATAAAATGATTTCTGCATCTCTCTTGTTTCACTTCATAAAGCAAAGTCATCTATGAGTTTTGTTGTTGTTGTTGCTTTGCTTGTTTATTTTTTGGGGGGTTGTATTTCTTAATCCACATGAAGAAGGTGCCCTCTTCCCTCGCCTTGTGTTTCCCTCACATTCTTTGCTCGAGATCATACATGTATACACAAGGAGGCTGTAGGTGAAGGTGACTCTGGGACATAAATGAAGGGCTTCAAAGATGGGTTTTTCTGTGGTTATAATGAATGATAAACAGACTGAGTTACCAAGGAGCTCATAAGTCAGTGGGATTTAAAGTGCTGCTACCATCCACAGTCTTGCTCATTCGGGGAAAGGGTGGCATTTTCCTTAGGGAGCACTGTGAGTCTGTGACAGGGCAAATTAAGGAGGAAGGAACAGCAGTCACATAGTCACTTCTGCTCTCAAGACCTGTTGTGACAAAACCATCGGCATAATTAAGTCTTGTTTGTGATTGTTTTTATTGCTAGTATTTCCTAACGATACAATTCAGTATACAAGAATAGTTGAGGACTTAGCCAAGGTGCCCCAGACAGCTCGTGCAGCCTCATCCATCTCCCATGTCCAAGTTGTGTACTGTGGGGAAGTGGGTGCTTGCTTTTTGTTGTATTCAAAATTGTATGAAATCAGATCACATTAGAAGAACCTAAGTTTTAAAGCTTTCAGCGTGCATTTCTTTATTCATTGACGTGTGTGTTCACATGTGTGGCTATACACATGCCCTACTGTATCCGTGGAGATCTGAGAACAACTTGCTGGCATCTGTTCTCTCCTGCCATGTGGGTTCCCTGCATCAAATTTGGATGGTCAAGCTTGGTGGCAAGTACCGTAGCCGACTGAATCACCTTGTTGTCCCTGAGTCATTGAATTTTTAAAAATAATGTGTGTATTTAAAACTTCTCTTTATCCACCCCACAGGGTTTGATATAACCTAGTGAAGTATATTCATTTATTTTGGGGGATTATTTATTATAATGGTTTATATTTTAATGTAATTGTTATTGTAATGGCATTGTAAAAGTTGTTTGGGGATTTTTGGTAGGAGGTAGGGGTAGTAAGAAAATGTAGCAAAGTCACAGTAGGATGGGCACATGGAAGGTCACATCATAGCCTATCATCATGCCGCAGGTAAAGTTCCCTCCACTTCCTTTGGAAGTGCAGAATGAGAGGAAGAGAAGCAGGCTAGACTATGTTGTTCCGCACAAAGCCGTCTGCATCGAACCCGTAGAGAAATGCTCTGCTGTAGATGTAGGTGGAAGAGTCTTGCTGATCCCACACCTTGCCACCTCACCCCAGCGGATTCTGCAGTCCATCTGCACTGATTGTCAGAGTGTCCTTTAACACTGCCCTCTGGCTTCACACCAAAACTGTGTGGCCCATGTTCACATCTCTCCGCAACTCTCTATATAAGTACGCTACATTGAGGAACAGATCACTTTTAGGCAGTTACTTATAAATATCGTATGATATTTATAGCAGTATTAGTAACTAGGAAAAATCTTGAGGGAGAGAAGCTAAGAACAGACACATTAATATTGCTGTCAAATCATGTGTGAGCACATGTGCTGATTCCCTGTGAAAGCCACATGGCCTGTTGCTTGAGGCAATCCAAAGGCTATGTTACCAAAGGGCAATGATGTGTTGTAAAATTTCTCATGAATCTTGGTGCTCCTGTGTTTTGCTCTGTTACTGGTACGCTTGGCACAATGACATTCAACGTGGCTTTGGTAACTAAGGTTGATATGAAATAAGCTGAAATGGTCCACCAAAAGATAACCAAATGTTAATCCCTGGGACCTGAACAGGTTTCATCACTTGGAGAAAAGACACTTCAAATGTGATAACATTAAGGATCTAGAGGTAGAGATTATATTGGATTCACCATTTGGTCCCTAAGAGTAGCCATATTTCCATGTAAGAGGGGAACTTGATACAGACAAAATAGAGGGTGGCAAACACAGAGAAGAGAAAATGTGGAGATGTGAGCATGGTCGGTCCACAAGCCATGAATATGTGAAAGGAGTGGACTTCCTTCTGGAGCCTCTGGAGAAAGCATGGTCTTGGCAGCATATTTATTTCAGGCAAGAAAACATAATTTTGACATCGACTTGCCCAGAACTGTAAGAGAACAAGTTTCTCTTGTTTTAAGCTACCAGATTTATGGTGGCATGGTCCCGCATCATAGGAAACTAAGGCCCACACTGGTAGACTGAAAAATGACCCCCACCCCTCAAAAAAATCACCCATAAACGCTACTTTTAAAAATAGGTGTTTCTGGGTGTGGTTTTCATGGACTATCTGGAAAGAACCCAAGTGTGTCCTTTTTGGAAAGGTAAACAGAGATTTGGTCCAGGCAGGAGGCAAGACAAACAGATATAAAAGAAGACCGTATGAAGACAGACTAGGTTAGGGTGATGTGGCCACAGGCCAAGGAATGCCGACAGCTTCCGAGCTAGAGTGGCATGAATGGATTCTCCGGAGCCTTCTGACACCTTGATTCCAACTTGAGCCTTTAGTTCTCCAGCCATGAAATCTGTAGTAAGTTGTTACCTCCCCCGTAGGAAACTGATGGTATTTATTTTTTAAAAAGCATGGAGAAGGAGGCATGAGCTCATGCATGCTTCAGAGGCACCCTGTGTTCCACTCAGCCAGATGAGCCAAATCAACGCTGACTTCCACCGAAGACCAGTGCCATGGCCAGGTGGCCCTGACTCTCTTGTTTATTCTTCATCCTTTTCAGACACTTTGAAGCTATGGTGACCTCACTGCCTCGCAGGCCTGAGGCATCCTAGTGCCAGTGTTGTTTGCCCTCACATGTAACTTAAATGTTTTCATTAAGAAAGCATGTGGGGATTCTGTAGATTGAGGAAAATGTGATTATCTTCAACAAAATTCATGTTTCATCATTATCAGTACTCCTCAGTTTAAAAATTAAGATATACTCATTACAGTTTTGTGTTTGTACTTGACACAGTTTAGTTTTCTGAAAAGTAGGCACCTCTGTTTTAGTGTTCAGAAAGAGTACTAAAAATTCTGACTCAATAATTTGCTAACTATTAAATAACAAAACTAAGTACCATTCTTCACTGGGGTTCTACTTACACAGTCGTTCTTCTCTAACAGGGTAAAATTGAGGAAGCAACGAGAGCATTTGAAGAATTGGTTCGCAAGTACCCTCAGAGTCCGCGAGCAAGATACGGCAAAGCACAGGTACCCTGGGCCCATCTCAGAGCATTTTCCTGGTGCTCACAAGTTCTATGTAATCAGATTTTTACTCTTTTACATTTGCTTTATAATTTCTAGATCATTTTGTGTGTGTGTGTGTGTGTGTGTGTGCGCGCGCAGACACGCGTATCTACGGAAAACACACGATTTTAATTGAGGTAGTTTTCAAACTGCATCTAACCAGTCTAGTAATACCAGATGCCTTTCCTCTGGTTTTGCAAAGGAAATAAAGGAGGCAGACACTTTTGCCATCGGTCTCCTGTGACCCCCACCTCCTTTCCATTTGAATTTCCTCATGGTTTTCATTTCAGGCTCTTTGGGGCTATTAGGCTCCTTTTGGTGACTGATGAGACTTGAAGAGACCTTTTAAATACATGCCATGGATGGCACATTGTTTCTTGACAGTTTCTTTGACTTGATTCATTTTCTACCAGCCACCTCCTTCCTCATTTCTTTCTCCATTATCTCCTCTTCTGGCTTTTATCATCTGAGTGTCACAAGGCTTAGCCACACTCACCTGCATCTTCATGAGCCCAGCTGAACTGGGAATGTCTGTTTTGCATTTGTCTGATAGTCAGATATGGTTACAAAAGAGGACACAAAAATGATTTGACATAAAAGACTTTGTTGTGTTCCTGACCTTAAGATAGGAAGCTGGTGCCCTATGCACTGCCACATAGGAAGGATGGCAGGAATGGAAGGCAGATCTGGAAGGAAGGCTTAGCATGATCTTTGGGGACTTTCCATTAGAAAAGCAAGGTGAGGCTGAGGGATGTGTCAGGATTGCCTAGTGTGAACAACACTGGCAAGTCCGGGGCTACAGGAATGGTTTCTAGTTGCTAAGTGTCTAGCCTTTGGGTGACCAAGGCAAAGGATGTCGCCTCCTGTGGTGTAGGATCAGAGAAAGGCGAGGCTCTGCTCTGCATAGAAAGGCTTCTTTGTTCAATTGTTATAATGTGCTGACAACTTCCCAGTATAACACAAGGAGCAACTGAAGACTACTTAGTCTAAAGATATGGAGTGAGAAGCCACTGTGTGTCAGCCTCTGCTGGGTAATGGAGAGAGATCCCTCAGCAAAATGTACTCACAAAGCTCCATTATGAAGGAAAGAGGCCGCTTAAAACAAGAAGTATCATGCATAGATTTGCCAGTGGTGACTGTAAGGAAAATAAAAAGAAAGCAGCGTGCAGCCACTGGACATGTAAGGGGGTCACATGATGAACAGGGTGGCAGAGAAGGGGCTCACCAGCGAGATAATACTTGAGTTAATCCTTGGGCATTTTTATAAATGACCATAAGTATATCAGATCATGATACCTAACAATGTATACTCTAAGCAGAAGAAAAGAAGACAATGGGATTCTGTAAAGCACATTTATTAAGAATCTTGGTTGCAGGTGATGTGAGTGAAGGTGACAGAGCAGGCAGCACTCTAATGGGAGGGGACAGTAGCTGAGATGTGTCAGGGTCATGGAAGGAACTGTCTAGGTAGAGTGGACAGATAGACAAAGGCCATGATTCGTGGCAACTGTCTTGGCATCAGAAACCTGAGCAGAAAGAAAGGGCTGCTGGGGGCAGGGGTCAGACAGAGAGGCTAGCACTCCTCACAGCTCTTGCTCTTCATGCCCAGGGAAGCCTTTGGAAGCTATTCCTTATGCAGGTGACCATCTGGTGACTTTTTGTAAAGGTTGCTTTGGTTGCCAATTGGAAAATGAACTATGAGAGCAGAATCAGGTGCACAGAAAGCAGGTGGCTGTCACAATGTGGTATGCGTGAGGTGCTGGTGGCATGGCCTGTGGCCTGGCCATGGAGGGGAATAAGGGCAGGGATAGATAAATGGAAGGGTCAGGGACAAAGTATTGGCCAGTGACTCCTGTTTGTTGTGAATAGCTAAGGAGAAAGTAATGCTAGTTGCTGGTCAAGCAGAACAGCTGTTGAGCTGAAATTTGCAATTGCAATGGTTATTAGGCATTCATATGGCTGAATCAAGGAGACCACTAGGTTTGTGAAATTTAGAACTTGAGTAAAGCCAGACTGGTGAAAAAATGTCAAGGAGTAAAGCGCCTGCAGTCCTTCTTGAAGGAGATAGAGGAGTGCCGAAGTGTAGCTTCAGCGGAATTCAGGTCCCAAAGAGGAGGCATTGAGTTGACGGGGTAAGAAAGGGACTGCTGCACATCTGAGGGTTCAGCAACTCTCTCCCTCAATCAGTGAGACTCTAATTTATATAGCACATTGACTATATAAATTGTTTGACAAGCATCAGTGCCCTGGATCCCTTATTTTACTTCCTCATTAATTGCCCAGGGTGAAAAAGCAAAGTACAGAAGAGACAGTTTTATCCAAAACAACCTCTTTGGACAGAGGTTGACAAATCAAGAAGTTACAAATTTCTCAGGGTCTGCAATACATAGGACCTTCTATATTTTACAGCTTGTGTCTAGGATGCCTGCTCATATGATTACAATTTTTTTTTACCTTAACCAAGTTACATGTAGCATCATTTGATGTTTTCTAAAATGCAAGCTTTACAAAATATGTCATAATAAGGGCTTGAGAGATGGCTCAGCCATTAAAGGCTAGGCTCACTACCAAAAACAAAATATGTCATAATAAGCATTTAACTGATTGATTATAGCATTTTTCTGTTTCCAAGTTTTTATAGTAGGGACCTGTTCTTTGTATATGCCCCCATAAAGGAAGATCCTGATGTAGGACCTCATTATAGGGAAATGGGTATGCTTGTGACATCTTGTATCCAGACCTGAGCAAGACTTTTCTCAGAATCTACTCGATTGGTACCACAATCCTTGGGGCACAAGGAAGACTCTTCCTTCTGTGACTTTCTTTCCAGGCTAAGACCCCTGCCATCAAAGTTTTCTCTCTGGAATATAAATATATTTTTCTCTGGGGGCTGCATAAGCAGAAACTCTCCATCATGCAAACAAGTGCTCCTAAAAGTGAAAAAGCCACAAGCCACAGATTGAATCCCTTGACAAAGTATCGTTGGAAATTTGTCAAGCAACATCCTCCATCAGGACTTGGGTCTTCCCTTTTCCCATGGCCTGTGCCAAAGGAGATGACCAGGCAGCCTGGGAAGCGGTAGGTAAAGAGCTACATAAGTTAGTGGACCGAGGAAAAGCAGACAGTAGCCCCTTGTGTGTAACCTCCACAGCTAGTGACGCATGCACAGGAGGACAGCAGGTAGAACTGGAGGTAGAGACCACTTGAGATCCAGCTGCTCAGTCTTTCTATCCCATCAGAAAGTAGCTAATTTAATTTTCATTAGGTAAATTTGCCTAAATCAAATTTGTAAAACGATTAATACAAATAACTTTCCCTTGTCCTTGGTACGTACCAGATACAATGCATAGCAGCAACTGTGTGGTTTTGGTAAACTAATTGAGCCATAATCTTCTAACATTGGGAAACTACTTTGCTATTGAGAGAGAATGTTTGTTAACAAAAGATCCAGAATGTCCAGATAAGTGGCATGTTTTGTCATTAATATCAAATCCTTTGGTCATGGGAAGCTCGTTAACGGTAGGGAAAATGGTTGTGCAAATGTTAATTATGGCAAATTGTTTTGTGCTTTCCCAGTTTTCTCCCTATGTGACTTTCATCGTGGTGACTGGACCCTTTGGAATGTAGTGATCTCTGTATGTGCAGTTTTCTTTCACAGGAGGAATTTGATATGTGAGCCTCGGGCAGTATTTTTTAATCTCTAAGATGTTATGCTACAGATGTTATTGATATTAACACTAATGTGGCATAAAATAAAAGTTAAGCATGGCAAATTAAGTTTTAATAGGGTAATTTAAAGGAAACTTCAAATTTATAGGAGTTTCAAAAGTAGACAAATTTTGTAAGGAGGACTGAATTATGACTTTTTCAGTTCTCAGTTAGCAAATTATGCAATTTCTTTGTAATAGCTCAACAGCTCTTAAAGAGTCAACATAAAGTCAGATACAAACGATAGTGTCTATATTTTTTCTTTTCTTTTTATTTTTAAATTTAAATTTAAATTAGAAGCAAGGTTGCTTCACATGTCAATCTCAGGTCCCTCTCCCTTCCCCTCCCCTCCTCACATGTCCTCCCACCAACCCACCCAATACCCCCTAATTTCCCCAGGGAGGGTGAGGCCCTCCATGGGGTGTCCAGAGTCTGTCATTTCATCCAGGGCAGGGCTAGACCCTCCCCCAAGAGTCCAGGGTGAGAGTGCATCTCTCATTGTTTGATGGGCACCCAAAGTCCATTTGTATACCCGGGATAAATACTGATCTACTACCCAAGGCTCAATAGATTACCTAGGCCTCCTCACTGACACCCACATTAAGGGGGTCTTGATCTGTCCCATGCTGGATTCCCAGGCATCAGTCTGGGATTCAAGAGGTAACCCTTGTCAGGTCAGCTGTTTCTGGGGGTTAAACAGCCCAGTCTCGTTAAACCAGCTCATCAGTCCTCCCTCTCTGTCACTGGGTTCCTTGAGTTCAGCTCAGTGTTTAGCTGTGGGAGTCTGCCTGTGCTTCCATCAGCCATCGAATGAAGGTTCTGTTTCCCAGACTCTCTGGCCATGGGATTGTAGGCTGGCACTCCCCAGATCTATGTCTAAAATCCATATAATCAGTGAGTACATACCATGTTTGTCTTTTTGTGACTGGGTAACCTCACTCAGGATGGTTTCTTCTACGGCTGTCCATTTGCCTGCAAATTTCAGAAATCCATTGTTTTTTTTTCTGCTGAATAGTACTCCATTGTGTAAATGTACCACATTTTCTCTATCCACTATTCAGCTGAGGGACATCTAGGTTGCTTCCAAGTTCTGGCTATTACAAATAATGCTGCTATGAACATAGTGGAACAGATGTCCTTGTTGTATGAATGTGTGTCTTTTGGATATATGCCTAAGAGTGGAGTTGCTGGGTCTTGTGGTAGGCTTACTCCCATTTTTCTGAGGAATCTCCATATTGATTTCCAAAGGGGCTGTA